AGGCAGGTTTGCTCACACCTCAGAGACAGGCCGCACTGCTGAGTCTCCTTTCCCCCCCAAAATTAGAAACTAATTCGCTGAGAAAATTAAAACAGACAGGAGAGGCCTCATTCTAAGCAGCACTGGAGTTTGTTTCCTCCTTAACAAAAGCTTAAATGGGTTCAATCATCAAGGCTGTGTATTTACAGGTCATAGGAGAAGTTTAATCAAACAGTAAGCTTCCAGATGAAAACGTCTTTTTGTAGCTTTAGCAAGTACTCCAATTCCAAGTGTTTTCCATTTGATGCAAAACTCTGGAACATCTTGTTAAACATACAGAAGGAGGTTAATGTTTGTCTCAAGGACTAGATTGTACCAGAGCCATATCATGTTTGTCTATACTGGATGTTTATTTATTTATCTTGATACATCTCTCCCCACCCACCCAACCAACCACCTACCTTTTGCCTCTCGATCCTTAAGTCCAGAAAAATGGTGTTGTATTTCAAAAAGTCTTGATTGCTTTTTAATATCACTGCCTTTGGCGTACATTTAGCAGCTGTATTGCCCTTTTACTTGAAATTGAATTTCTTCCATTATGTGATTTTTAATCCAGGCGTCCAGGGGCTACAAAAATCGATTCCCTGAGCTCTTCAGCTTTAATTGTTGTTTAGCAGGAGGCCATACGGTAACAGATTAGTTTGTTATTACTTGTCAATATCGCTAGCGTTGTAGTCAGTCTTTTCAAGCAACTACACTGGAGAGATATACAAAGTAATAAATGGAATCCTGATGGCTGGGGGAGTTGCTGGAGCCTTAGGTGTTGGAAAGACAATGAAGTTGAATACTTTCTCAGTGATCATACCTGGAAATCACCTATTGCTTTATCATCAGGTGTATACTGTTAAGTATAATAAGTAGAAAAAGGTTATACTATATCCTTCCGTGATCTCCTTAGGCGGCTGAGGCTCAAGAGATAGAGTGGGTTTAGCACTAATCGGAAGACTGGCGATTTAATCGTTGGGTACTCCATTCCACAGGTAGAATTGTCCCTGGGCAAGAAACCCCCAAATGATGTGCGTGTGAATGTTTAACTGAGTTGCAGGTGCCACCTTGTATGGTAGCCTGTGTCTGAAAGGGTGAATGTGACATGCAGTGTGACAGTTCTTTGAGTGGTCAGACGACTAGAAAGGCTTTGTAGAAGTATAAGTCCTTTTAGAACCCAAATTCACCCAAAACATTGCATACAATTTGCAGTTTTGTCTAATTTTTGTGAAGAACTGGCAGACAACACTGCATTACAATGAGATATTTCTAGTACTGTGGCTATAAATGAATTTGGAAACAGGGATTGCTTCAGCAATCTTGGTTTTGGTGTCAGTCCCATGTACAGTGGCATGCAAAAGTTTGGGCACCCCTGGTTTAAATTTTGTTTACTGTGAAACGTTAAGTGAGCAGAAAATGAACTGATCACCAAAAAACATGAAGTTAAAGATTCAACATTCTTTTCAACATTTTAAGAATAATTAGAGTATTATTTTGGCTTTGTACAGTTAATTAGTTAATTACCTTGTTAGGATTATGGCTTGTTCACAGTCATCTTTAGGAAAGGCCAGGTGATGAAATTTTCAGAGCTTTATAAATACTCTGACTCCTGAAACCTTGTCCCAACAATCAGCAGCCATGAGCTCCTCTAAACAGATGCCTAGCACTCTGAGGTCTGGAAGACCAAGGAAACTTTCAGAGAGAGCTCCCCGTAGGATTGTTAGAAAGGCAAATCAAAACCCCTGTTTGACTGAAAAAGACCTGCAGGAAGATTTATCAGACACTGGAGTCTGTAAATGCTCTGTTCTACTGTGCAGTGACACCTGTACAAATATGACCTTCATGGAAGAGTCATCAGAAGAAAGCATTTCCTGTGTCCCCACCACAAAAATCAGTGTCAGAAGTTAAAATGGAAGTTTTTGGATGCAATGAGCAAAGCTACATTTGGAGAAAAAAGAGAGCAGCATTTCATGATAATAACACCTGTCCATCTGTTAAACACAGGGGTGGATTGATCATGCTTTGGGCTTGTGTTGCAGCCAGTGGCACAGAGAACATTTCACAGGTAGAGGGAAGAATGGATTCAGTAAAGACGTCGTTTTTTTGAAGGGCAATCCTTAGCTGCTACTTAGTGTTTGCAGCTCTCACAACACAATTAAGCTCAATGATAGGATTTTGTTTTTTTGTTTTGGGGTTTTTTTGGGATTTTTTTTTTTTTTTGCTTTTTGCCTTAAATGACAAGAGAGGGGACGACATGCGGCAAAGGACCGTGGGCTGCAATCAAACAGGCCATTGTGGCAAGGACATTGCCTTTGTACATGAAGCACAGGCTGTACCCACTGTTCTACTGGACGCCTCAGGATTTTTTAAAATTAAAAAAAAAAAAAAAAAAAAAACACCTGTCAAAATTGTAACCACCCAGCTCAATGTTATCACTCAATTAAATGGGCAGGTTACTTGCTATGCGGCGCCATAGGAAGTCATCTTACATAACAGGTTATGTAAGATGGTTACATCTGGTTGGGGTGGTGGACAATACACAGGAAGAAACAAAGATATTCACCCAGGAGACTGGGATTTGTGTTCCCACAAGTCAAAACAAAGTCAACAGTGTCTTTTGATGTATGTCAGATACGTCAGTTATGTAATATAGTTATATTAAACCAAACCAGCCAAACCATGGTGTTTTTTCTTAACGTAACCATGAAGTCTGTGCACCTGAACCTATTGGGATTGACATTGAAATCTGCTCTGGATGCTAACACGCATTTGATTAAGCAATATGACAGGAAAAGGAGTGCTGTTGAACTTTATATCAGCACGTCTGTGATTCAGTCGTAGGCACGAGGCCACAGGCCAAAGATATTCACAGCCGTGCTGATATCCAGTACAACAGCACAACCTCGAGTGTGATATTGCTTTTATACAACAGTTCTACAAGCGCCATTTATCAACAATGAAAAGCAGCAACAGGTTATGATTTGTTTGTTCATTAATTAAATATTTGGCTCCATCAACACAAATTGTTTGGCAACTGGACTGGGATTGGACTGTTGCCAAACAACACACAAAACATTCCTGCACATTAGCTCGCTACTTTGTGTAAGCTAGGTCTACACTGACCAGCTGCTATGTATCATGTAGGCTACATCTGTGTTGCCATTTATTTGGTGACCTGGGAAGTAAGTCTGTTAACAGTCACTTTGATTGCATACCTGTGATGCTGATGCTTTAACAGCTTAATCAGTACTTTGCGTCCTCTTCTGGTGTTATATGAGCGTACCTGGACATTCACAGTAAAGTATTGAGGCTTATTTCTGTCCCTTCTTCCTTTTCTGACCATTCATTATTTAACTCAAATGTTATTTGTGGTAGTATGTTTCATTTTGCAGTGCAAAGTTTGTTACGACCCTTAATGTTGGCTAACTAATGATTAACAAAATTAACAGCTCAGAACACCTGTAAAGTGGAGTGATGCATAGTTAAAAGTCCCAGTGCTGTTATACTGTATATCAACACTCATGGAATGCCTACTGTCCAATTTAAAAGCCCGGTTGGAACTAACTGTTGTATAAAAGCTGATAATGACATTCTTGACAGACTTATCAGTGTAGCAGGAGCCTTCTTACCCATATCTTTGACACCAATAACCACTACCAATGCCCATTTAATCAAGTGATGACATTCAGAATGGGTCTTGTATCTGACTTTACTCCACAAAGAAAGACTACAGTTTATTACTTTGGTTTGATGTTTGTTGCTCTGGTCAATGGTTCTTTTAGTTATGCTAACATTGTACTCGTCAACGTACCAATAATTGCTGGGATCTGGTTGTGACATTAGTAAAAATAGGCCAGATGTGGCAAGAAACCGGAGCGTTCAGACAATCAGTTAGTAGAACAGTTAATCAAGCGTGTTTGGAAGAGGGCAAGCTGTAAACTTTGCACAATATGTCTGACCATTGGAACTTGAATGTTACTTGCTCCGTTGGAACTAGTTTTAGTGGTGTCACCATGTTTTGAGGTTTATTTTAGTGAGCACGATGTTATAATGACCAACAGAATCAGTAGCCAGGGGTACAAAGTAAGACACAAGTTGTTATAAAACAGTTTTTATGCACCTTGGTTTGGACAATTTAGTGTTCCAACTGCCAGTCCCTATAAACTGTCCATGTAGTAAATGTAAAATGAAGAGGAGTTTTACTTCCAGGACCCTGCGCTCTGTAATAACTTCTTCTTGGCAGCTCTATGGGAGAGGTAATGGCCGGTTGAGGGAACACAGACACTTTATTAGTGACTCAGTTGCTCATCAGAATTGAACACCTGTAATATACTGAATATATTGATGTTATGAAACTCTTTCATCACTTTTGAGACAGGAAACTTCTTTCTTGAATGCTGACAGTAATGACTGACAGAGCCAGTCGCTGGCACCTGTGTGTGTGGAGGTTTGAAATGTCTGAGTACGTAAACCTTTGCATCAGAACTTGGCAGTGCTCGTAATAAGCAGTTAGCACAAATTGAGATGACCAGGGGTGAGGCACATCATCATGATCAGAGGACCAGGAATGGAAATCCACAACCGGCATATTGAATCAGGCATTTACGTTAAGCCTTTTTGTATTACGAGCAGATAACAGTGAAATCCTAAATAAACAGAGAGGACTCTCAGTTCTTTCAGGTCATCAAACTCGTCATTTGTGAAGAGAATCAGACATGTGTAACATGAAATATCCACCAATGGCTATGTGTTGGCCCCATCTCCCCTGTCCCCAGATTCACACACAGGTAAACCCCCAAAACACACACACAACCGGTTGGACTGTAGCCCTGAGAGAGAGATTGTGCGAGAACACTGTGACTCACTGTTTGCGTGACTGTGCGTGTTCGTGTGCGCACACGCATCTGTGCGAGTCTGTGTGTAGGTGCATTTGTATCTGTTTGTGTATGTTACAGCGTGTTAATTTGACTTTGCAGTCAGATGACAGTGCCACTGTACAATATGACGCTCAAATGTGCCAAGTGCGGAGTTATCTCTTCGGCTGACGTTTCCACCACAGCTACCAGTAACGCCATGTTAGTCCCGCTAATTATTTTTCCTTAACTCTTCTTACCTCTGTTCTCTCCTCTACTGTACGCCTCCCTTCTTCTCCTTCACTTGATTGGTTCTCTTTCCTTTATCCCTCTGTCTTTTTTTCTTCTCCCTGATGCCCTGGCAGGCAGGTTCTCTCAATATGAAGGGCTTCTGAAGCTTCTGTGCTCAGCAATCTGTGTGTTAACTGTATATATGTCAATGATTATGCATATGTGAGTAATGACTGAATGAGAGTTTGTGTGTGTATGTGTGTGTGTGTGTGTTTGTCCCTTTAGAGTCAAGATGAAATGAAAAATGCCTTTTAACCCTTTTAGATCAAATCCTCAGCCATATTGAACACCTATTTAACAATATATGACAAAAAAAGACAATTTTTAATTTATTTGTATTATTATCAGGGGTCCTGGGGGTTCTTAAAGATTCCTAAAAGGCATTGAATTCATTAATCTAAAAATAAAGCTTTAATCGGTATTAAAAAGTCTTTAATCAACCTTTCAAAGAATGGTACATCAGAAGTAGGATTTTATGACTATTATTTTTTTGCAATGTAAAATCTCAAAATAACTGGTAACATCATTTTTTTAACTTCCCTTACCAAGTGCCTCTCACAATAACATCAGATCAGAATAGTGGGGAACCAACAACACTCACATTTTTGTTCTCCGTGGAGCAGAGGATCCACTGTTCGCTGGCAGGCTGTTCTCATGAACTGTTCGTACGTTTTCCTACAAAAATGAATGCTCCTAAATTTGTACATGTTGCACGTAATTATGAGCCAGTAATTTGTGCATAACCCACATATTTTGGAAGGCTGCGAGCATGTCAAATGCGCTGATGGGAGTAAACAAGGAAGCAGCCCCGAGCAGTCTCGAAAGGAGGCAGGTTGGGATGGTGGTTGGGTCACAAAAAACAGGACTTTCCCCTGGTACTTTCCTTAGAAGATGTTCAGATGTATGTGAGCTTTGAGTCATTTTAAGGTACGTCGTCACCATGTTTCTTTTCCGAAACCTAACCACAGGAACTTCACTCGCCTAAACCTAACCCCTGTAACCTTATGTTAATTACATACACTTATTTTAAGGACATAATGTCATTCGTGGGGTGCTAATTTGTACGATATCATACAAACCATTCCTTAAGGATATGTTGACCCTGCACGATACAGGAAAATTGCACATTCAACAAAAACTGGCTGTTAAAGCAACATTTTGCGGCATTGCTAAAACCAGTACAAGGCAATGCATACAAGCCTCTGTGTATTTTGTGCAAAAAGTTTTTCAAACTTGGCATGATGGAAATCAAAGCAGTGGAATCCCACATCCAGATTGAGAAACACAAAATTACTAAGAAAACCCATCAATAACGTCAGGTATTTCCTAGTTCTGTTCTACCCTCGTCTCTGCCAGGCCTCTACTCTCATCTCCAACACCAGTACCAGGGTCAGCCGCAACAGATCTCTGAACATTTGGCTGTACACCTACACAAAAAGCAGACATACTGTGGTGTCAGAACATGGTGACAAAACACCAATTGCGCAAGTCAAATGAGGGCATAAGAGACCTGTTTTGCATATTGTTCCCTGACTCAGAAATAGGTGGTAGGTGGTATTTTTTCTTTCCTTCTGTTTTGGTTATTGTAAAATTTGCTCTAAATTTCATTCCGATTGTCCTAAAAAGTATATCAAAATCCAATCATGTTTTCTTCCTGTAAAACAAAGTATGACTTCTGCTTAGCTAGTCCCAACCAATATCAACCAATAATATCATGACATGCACGCATCAATCAATCTGCAACTTTTAGCCGTACAAAGCTATTTAGCTGGCTAGCAACAGTATGGCACATCAGTGTGTCTTTGTTTCCCCAAAATACCATGGTTACGGGCCCACTGGCTAGAATTTATTCAGTTTGAGGAGAGTGATATCTGTGACAGCCCCAGATTATGTGCAAGGCTTTGTACAGTGGCCTGCTTCAGCAGCTAACATAACCTGGAGCATACGATGGAGTCGCTCCACTTGACGGGTACTTTCTAAACCATTTCTGCTACTATCCACTATGTGTACACTTTTGGGACCCTACTGATATAACACCCCCACTTTATGACAGTCAAATCAAACTCATCCCAGCGTTGTATGCCTATCTTGTTTCACTAAGAAATTCGTCACAATACTGAAGCTAGACACTACTGATATCCTGTTTTATCAGGAATTTAACAGATGGTCAGAAAGCTGCTCAGAAAAATGTTAAGGAGGCCATGGCTATGTATACAGAGGAAAGCAATACACTGCTTTGTCTCAGTTTATATATATGTCGTGCTGAGATCTATGAGTGCCCTAGCTATATGGATCATTTCCATTATCAACCCAGGCCTTTAGTTCCTACTTTTTCGCTGTTGTGCTAATAGAATCTGATCATGACTCTAGAGGTTCACTGTGGAGTTATCCGCCTCCTATTTGCAGGGAGTGTTGCTCTCTGCTATGATCCACAAATACAACCTCTAAATAGCTTTTCTTTGTTTTAAATAGCTGTGACTGAGCAATTAATACACATCATTTCACTTCATAGTCTGTAACGTGACATTGCTGACACACTTCACACACATCAGACACATTTATTTTTCTGGCTAGTGGTTGTGACTACTGCAAGGAGTAAAATATGTTAAATAAAATATGTGTAAAAATTGGAATCACCCACATAGCACTACAGCAGGTATTTCACACTAAAGTCAAGCAAAATAACAGTACATATCCCCATTCTGTCACTTTTAGTCCCAATCCTGTTTCACGCTTACATGTATCTAGTACATTTACAAAATCACTTTCTATATGATATGGGTGGATTTAAATACAATAGGCAACAGTTTTAAATGTTCAAATAATAATCTTGATTCTGATTCCACCGTGGTTTTACAACCGCATATCAGCCTTTATTTTAAATACAAGATTTATTTGGTATGGTATCAATTTATTTTTTCTGTCTGGCTCAGCCATGTCACTGGATCACCTCCTACATGTTATCACTCATTTAATACTTGTGCTGACATGGTTCATTACACATGGCAGGTGAAAATAGTGGAGTCAGCAAACATTACAGCTAATTACTGTGAAGAGGCTGACAATTCTGCAGTTTGTACTCACTGTAAATACCACAAACATTAGTATAGTTACTTCACCCTGGTGTTTATGGCATATTGATTAGTATATAGGCATTACCAGGTGAACAAATGTGTTGTAATGGATTTTTGGGTTAACTTCATGTTTCCTGTCCCCAGTGGATTGAACTGTAGAACCAACGTGATCTCACAGAAATACTTCAAATGACCATGACCTTTGAACACCGCATTACATGGTGGTAGCCATATTGGGTTCAATAACATGGTGGCAGCATGGTTGGACTGAGGCACCAAAATGACTTGGTTAGGTTGAGAAAAAGATTGGGAATTCAGTTAAAATAAATAACTGTCACATACAGGTCTCACTTCAAAATAATCGAAAAACCAGCACTTGGGTCAGTGACTTCCAGTGTCAGACAACAATGAAAAAAGCTGTCCTTTTACGTCGGCATGACACTTAGCTGGTAGCCGTTATTGTTTAATGGCGGCTTCCACATGGACTGTTGCCCAAACTAAACCTAAAAGTGGTCTCCCTGCTTAAAGTCCAGTGTTTGTTTGACCCATCCACCACCTTGATCTCCGACCTCCTCCTTACAAGGACTTTCTCGCTCTTCATACTTACTATGGGGTCATAACAATAACCATTGTTCATTGTGTGATGAATGGAACCAGGGAATTTGGACTTTGTATTGGCACTGTTTTCATGGTGCCAGCATATAATTTTTATTTTTAATTTTCATTTGGATGTGCAACCACCTCATAATGCGGTGTTAAGAGGTCATGGTAATTCCACATATTTCTCTGACACCAGGTTGTGGAGAACAACACTCCCTCCAAATGGAGAAGTTTGTAGGTCTACATTTTAAATTGTTTTGCTTATCAACATTGAATATGGAGAACAAACTGAAAATAACTTGGATTAGCTTTTAGGTAGGATTCAGCTATTCTGAACTTTAAAGGCAGCGCTGATTTGCTGGGCCAGTTTTTCAGTATTTATAACTCTGACTAATTTCTTAACAAAACTATTGTTGAGTATGTCCTCCAGAGTGTTACTGTTGGCGGGGTGGAAAAGCCTCCTAAATAGGATTCACATAATTAGACATCCAATTTCCAATGAGCTCAAAAAGAATAATGGCAAACACTATCAAACCTATTTACTGTGTTGGTCTAGCCAGCCTTTTTTTTGCCTTTATTTCATTCATGGTGTTCCATCTGTTGGGCTGTGTTATTTTACTTTGATAGATTTTGGAATACCCTTGTGAATGCACACCACATTATGACCTTAAAAAATGTGTTGCATTGATAGGATTTGAATAAGAAGCCTAATAGCCACCACAAAATGTTGGGATTGTACGTTTCTGAAAACCATAAACACGTCAAACTTGCATGTGCCAAACATATAACATCAGTGTTTCTGAAGTGACGTAGTATATGAGCTGACTTTGTCATCAGGTGGATGGCGTGTCCAAGGTGAGACACCCGCCAAGCTGCAGACCACTGTTCAAGACCAACAAACACTTATCTTGTGTTTAAGTGACCAGTCACTGGTTTTCCAGTGGGATCAGTGCCATGAAAAGCATTTCTTCTTTACCCAGACTTTGTTGCATTTTCTGCCGGGATATTTTAACAAATGCAGTTGTTTTTAGAGAGACATCACTGCTTTTCCAGCGGGGATTGTGACCCCAAAACATGATCTTTTCCTAACCATAACCAAGTGGGTTTTGTGCTTAAATCTAACCACATATTAACCACAGCACTGTTGAAAAGTATAGCTTCAACACTGACCACATAACAACGTGCAAATGTAACATATCCATGGTTTCCAGAAATGTGCAATGCTAACATTTTATCTGGCAGTTGGGTTGGAATAAGACAGTCTGACAAATAGACAGTAATTTATTAATGAAAATGTCTTCAAAATCATAAAAGTGTGAGCGGTTGGTCTCAAAGGGTTTTTTTTAATGAACAACTAGAATATCTTATCAGCAGTAACATTATTATGATAGTAAATAATTTTTAAAAATAAAGTTTTTTATCCCATTGAATCTCATCTATTAGTGCATGATTTGTGGTGATTTTTGCATCATAGCTTAATCAGTAATCTCTTGCAGAGAACATTTGCTCACCCGCCTCACACACTAGTGATGATCTGTATTTGGATATTGAAATAGTTTATGTCAGAGAAATGTGTTTTCTGACATTTTAATGCTCATAATCCACATTTTAAATACTAAAAAGCATTCAAGCAGCTGAAGGGCCAAAACCCTTCTCTTTCTGGCCTTTTAATGTGAAACACCTACATGAAGTATTATTTACAGCAGCTTAACACTGATCAGATACTGAAAAAAAATAGGATATATCCAAAACTGGAAATAGTGAGAGGGAGTATTTTGTTCAAAAGAGCAACTCAGAGCACCAGATTGGTTAGTATGACGTGACTCTTGTCCTTATAGTTGTAATTAGTGCTGTGGAAGTATATATAATGCTAAACATATGGTGTGAGATGTTATATAAAACTTCTGAATGCAGCACTTTTGCCTTTAATGACTTTAAGTACCCTTTCCTCTTCTCTAACAAAAAATAAATATTTGGACATGAATAGCTTTAGTAAGAGAATCTGAGTGAAAGATCATTTCATGACACTCACACTGTGAGCGGTTATTGTTCTTGTTCATTACTGACGTGCCCATTACAACAAGTAGAATGAGTCAGAGAGAAAAACAAGGACCGCAAAGTGGGAGCAAAACTACGGACGTGGGGATGACACTTCTTTAGTCTTCTTTCTCTCTCTGTCTCTCTGTCCTCTGCTCTGCCTCCTCTGTTTGTCTTTGCATTCTGTTTCAGCCTCATTACACTCGTTTTTCCCCACTGCTCACCCTCACTCCTCCTTCTCTTTCCTGTGGCACTAGATCCTCTATGGTTTGACTGAACCATCTTAAACATACATGCATGTAATATATGTGAACTATGAACATATATATCTGCAGATAATGGATGTATGTTTTTGTTTGTGATAGTAACATAATTATTTGTTGTGATGTTATGTATTTATGCATGGGTAGAGTTGAAGGCTGCTAACACTATGCTAACAGCGTGGGCAGTTATCAAGGGCAAGCAGGAGATTGCTTTAAGATTGTGTTAGGCATTACATTCTCTACATTTTTTATTGTACCAGAGAAAAGAAATCTAGTTAATTTATTGGAAATTTTTGTAAAGAAGCTTGCCTTAACAGATTTTTAAATTTTAGCTAACGAAAAATATGAAAGGTCTTATAGCATAACTGTCAGACAACATTGTAGGCTTGCCCTCTATGTCATGTTGACAAAGGATTACTTGTGCTGTCCTTGACTGCGGTTCCCTTCCCGTCCTGCAGGGCGTCACTGTGGAGTTCCTGTGTAGTTTTGCCTCTCCTGGCCCTCACATGGATGTCAGCCGTCCTCGCAATCACAGACCGGCGCTCTGCGCTCTTCCAGATCCTCTTTGCTGTCTTTGATTCACTGGAAGGCTTCGTCATTGTCATGGTGCACTGCATCCTGCGCAGAGAGGTACCTCACATGACCACTGACTTTACTTGTTCCTGGTTTTGTTTAGGGCTATAAATGATGAATAGCAGCTCCCATTGAGATTCTCTGTATACTGATATGGAATTCAGTTAAAGCTTTCACATAAAAGCTAGTACAATACTGATCAATCCTGGCACCCATCGGCTATCGGTCTAATGACAGTAAGCCCTTGGGAGGTTGTGGCTAGGTGGTAACCCTAGATTTCCAAAATCCCAAAATCTTCTTGTCTTGCTGTTTTATGGTCATTTAAGGTCATTGACAGATAATAGTTTGGGTTAAAACGATGAATCATGAAATCTCTTGGGAGTTTTCGCGAATCTTGGGTGTAGCCAGTGGATATACAGGCCAAGACTTCCTCTTCCATGCTGAACTGTCATCAGACAATAGATAGGTTCCAAGATTGCATTTCAGCCAGTTTGTTTTACCTCTCAACATACTGTTTACCTGCCAATCAAACATGACTGGTCAGTTCTACTCGGACTACAAATAGGTTACAGACGAAGACCGAAACAGTTCCGATGCTAATATCTGTGTCTCGTTGCCCACAGCTTCTGCATACATAGGCAGAGATGTGTTTCTAGAGATTAAGTATCGAACAGTTACACAATATATATCCTGGTAGGGGACAGATTCAAATTTTTTACCAGCGGGTATGTTGGCTGGTCCATGCATTTGATCAACACTCTGGTCCAAGGATTTTGGTGACCCCCAGACTTTTCATTTAGAACCGCCATCAACCCATATAACCCCTTGATCAATGGTCATAATGGTCCATGACCATGACCTCAAAATACGGAGTGTTTTATTGTATGTTTGTTTTGGGTTGAACTCCTGACCTTTTAGTAAACTTTTTTTGTCAGTATTGTCATTGGGTGTTAGGTCTGGAGTTGCTGCGTAGACAGTGAATAGTGAAAATGTTCTAGATCAGTGGTTCCCAACTTGTCCAGCCAGGTGGTCCAGATTTTTCCTTGGTCATTAGTTAGAGGTCCACACAATTTAATACATTCAGCATCACACTTGCATTTGGCCATGTCATCAAGCTAGTTTGCTGTCTCCGTCAAGTAGTTGTCCATTTGTCACTCTACAGCAGGAAACAGCACTTTAAAATAAAAGCTTTGTGCTGGAAATTCACTGAATTTAAAGATAATGTTGTTTTTTGTTTTTTTTTAATTTATTTATTTTTTTTAACTTGACACATTTGCAAGTCACTTGCACTCCGTTCAGAATGGACCCGCAACCCACTTTTGTACCACGACCCACCAGCTGGGAACCACTGTTCTAGATGATACTGAGAGCACCCAGGAAAATGTACTGAATATATGGGGACATTTTCTGTTTCAGAGCTGAGAACACTACAATAGAATAAATCATTTGGGCGTACAAAAGACAACAAATGCGTGGGTCCACAGAATCAGGCTCCCAATTACTGTCCAGATGCCCCTGAGCCAGTAAGATGGTGACGTCTGCTCTCATGGTTTTCTACAGGTTCAGGAGGCAGTAAAGTGCCGTGTGGTGGACCGCCAGGAGGATGCTAATGGAGATTCAGGAGGATCTTTCCAGAATGGTCATGCCCAGCTTATGGTATGAATATGCATGTTGTTATTTTCACCTCCGAGGATTTATTATTCAGTGTGGCATGTTGTGTACACTGAATACAATATTTATTGTTTTCTGTCCTCAGACTGACTTTGAGAAAGACGTGGATATGGCTTGCCGATCAGGTAAGCTCCAGGTTGAGCCTGTTTGATTTTGTGTTTACGTGTGCATTTGACTTGACTTTGGGGACTACTGTTCAGAAGCTACAGATGTCTCTTTGTGCCTCCTCTCTGAATGTTGACTGCGTCAAATTCCTCAGCGTTGTCAGAACAGATGTGAGGCATGTTCCCCCTCAGTTCTGCACTTGTGTCTTACAATCAACATCAAAGCAGCCTCCCTTCGCCAAGGAGCTGTTTTGACAAGAAATACAGCACATTACTGCTGCATAAGGCAGTTTAGCCCGGGCTGATGGGAGTGGGATGAACGTGTGCTGAGCAGTTATATGCAGATAAATAGGGCTGTCTGAGTCTCTCCTACACTGCCGCTGTATAATTAAGTCCCTCCCGACAGTGCCGCATCAGATACTGGCTCTGCTCTGATATCCGCTGGGAGTGAAAAACTGATTATCTCTTGAGACAGGATATCAAGAAAAGCATCTGGAGCAGAAAAGCTATTGAGACACAGACAGGCCTGATCGAGAAAAGACAGAAAAGAACAGAGAGGGATGGTTGTTTTTTTGTTTGTTTTTTTTTTGTATATGTCAAGTAGGAAGGAGGAGCACAGAGAGCGATTGTAAGATATTTACTGTTGTGGAGAGAGCGTTGTCTGATGTTGTTTACCAGCCTGGACACAGCTTGGGATATGCATGCTGCCATGAGCCAGCAGTTGTTATAGTGAAATGAGGTTGGGTCACGCGGTCAAGGCAAACCCGCTGTCAGCCATGTACTCTCAGTAGAGATATTTTAACAAGGACTTTCTAGAATTTATTTTTTAGGGATATTTTGCTGTTGTCTCATTTGTCAGAGTTTGACCGGTATGAGTGTTTGAAGGGTGGTAAACGGTTTTGGTTATTGTGGTCACAGTTGCTAAGTGGACTTGTCAGCGCTCGCTGACCAACAGTGACAATGGTTTTCATGTTGCCTCACAACATTTTTTATCATGTCTCAACTATAATGTCTACTTTTTTATCTGCAGATGTACACCGAACAAAAGGTTTGAGTTAAAGATCTGAGATGGTCCTTAAGAGATACTTCTCTCAAAGTTTGGCAGCAAATTTGTTAAAATCTTTGTTAGTGGGCACTTTTTCACCTGTCCACCTGACAGGTGTGGCATATCAAGAGGCTCATTAAACAGCATCATTACTACACAGGTGTGCCTTGGGATGGTCGCAGTAGAAGGCCACTCTAAAACATGCAGTTTGATCAAACAACACAATGCCACAGATCTCCCAAGTTTTGAGGGAGAGTACCATCAGCATGCTGACCATAGGAATGTCCACCAGAGCTGTTGCCCGTGAACTGAATGTTTATTTAACTACCGTAAGCCCTCTCCGATGTTCCTTCCCTGAATTGGGCAGTACACCTAACCGACCTCACAACCGCAAGTCGGTTACAGTAATGAACTGCTGTCAGGTCAAGACCCTTGTGAGGACAACGAGCTGAGAAGGTTTTTGACAGTTTGTGCAGAAATTCTTTGGTTGTGTAAACCAATTGTTGCATCAGCTGTTCGGGTGGCTGATCTCAGATGATCTTGCAGGTGAAGATGCTGGATGTGGTGTGGTCTGCGGTTGTGAGGCCGGTTGGATGTACTGCCAAATTGACAGAACAGTTTATGGTAGTGGAATAAACATTCAGGGGCAACAGCTCTGGTGATAAATCCTGCAGTCAACATGCCAGTGACACACTCCCTCAGAACTTGTTACATCTGTGGCATTGTGATCAAACTGCACATTTTAGAGTGACCTTTTACTGTGACCATGCCAAGACACATCTGTGTAGTAATGATGCTGCTTACTCAACATCTTGATATGCCACATCTGTCAGGTGGATGGATTAGCTTGGAATATTCTCTCTAACGTGAATTTTACTAAATTTGCAACCATGGTTTGAGAGAAATGTATCTGTTGAGAGTATTAAAAAAAGTCTCAGATGTTTGACCTAAACTTCTGAAGAATGGGAGCAAAAACAAGTGTTTAAATTTTCGTTCAGCATGAATGCAAATACCAGCACTATGTTGCCCCAGCTATGCGTAAGTTCAAACATAACTTAGTTTAAATGTCATTATTTAACTTAGGTTACATGCTACTAACATTTTGAGGGTTGCACCGATTGAAATAGCTCCAGCGTAGGCTTAAGTGGTCAGTTACATATGCATATCCTCCGTTCCACATTGGCAAACAAATATATAGGGTTCAATAACTTTTTAATTAAAAACTACCAATTTATAACAGTTTGCCATTGTAGATTATCATTATGTGTTTGTTATGACGATACAGTTTCATCTGTTCAATAATAGCATACCGTTATCTTACGCTATGTTGTAGTTATTGGTTCCAGCACTCAATGTCACTGGTGTTACTTTGCAGTAACTGTAGATTAAGGTTTTTTTTAGCTGTTAACCTCTTTGCTGTTGTGTACAGGAAGTGAAAACATCATTTTCTGCAACAGCATTTTGGTTGGTTTGGACTTAACGCCAGAGAAGCTAAGATGAACCTTACGTCTCTGTGGTACAACACTGACACAGCTTTACCATCAAACTAACTAGTTTCAATGTAAAGTTTAGTGTGGACTAGGAGAGGGAAAGTACATATAGCTGGTGCAACAAACCGCTGTATATCTTTTTCTTTCTTCTTGTGGGGGCCCATAGCTCAAATTGTTAATTTATAATTATAAATACAAGCCTATAGAGCTAGACAGTACCACTTAAACCAGAGTGGTAGTAGAAGGTTGCTTCAGTATCTGTCCAACCCAAGGCTGGATTATTGACTGAGGTAAGTTGTGTGAGAATTTGCATCACTTAATAACAGTATCAGCTAAATTGCTATGTCCATCATTACCTTGAAACCCACACTTGTGGAGAAGCTCTGCGTCAAAATCTTGTGTTACACAATGCATATTACTGAGTGCATTTGTATGCAATTTGTTTGTTGGATGACAACAAATATGTGATATGAATAAATAATGAGCAGTGGGTCCCCCAGATGGGTGAATCCAGCCATGGTCCAACTCTGCCTTTCTGTTGCTTCCAGGCACTGTAAAGCGCTCATCTCTCCAGGGGGAGGAGAAGGCCTCCTCTGGGACCCACACCCTTCAGAAGGGTTCTAACTTTAACACCATGCCGGCCAGCATGGCCAAGGTTCACCTCCAGAATGTGGCAGACTACACCAGCCACACTCTGACTCTGCGCAGGGAGAAGGGCCCGACCAAGGGAATCAGCACGGAGCTGCCAGGTGCCAAATCCATCTACATCTGCGATGGTGAGCTCTTCAAGCAGCTTGATGGAGAGCTGCCTCGAGGAAACGGGGAGGGCAGCAGCTCTGAGGGCACTGGCAAAGGCCCGGGGTACGTCATTCTACCGACCAACAACACAGGCACCCTGAAGCCGGCCAAGGGGAAAGAGGAGCAGACAGCCAAGTATAACATCAGCATTGAGCAGCTGCCTCAGACCAGGCTCATCCACCTGGCTAACCCTGCCAGTGGAGAGCCAGTGCCTGGCTTCGGGCTGAAGAGCCTGCCTGCTGACCAGATCAGTGTGTCATGCTCTGACAGAGACTCACCTGCACACAATCTGCAAAATATGCCCAGAGACTCCCAGGTGGCCAACAGCATGTGTGACGGAGGAGATTCCGGAAACTCTGGTGTGATGTCTAAGAGTGAGACCGTCTCCACACTGTCCATGAGCTCACTGGAGGTAAGACCACTGAACTAATCAGCATATTCTTGTAATAGCAGTGCATTATCAGCCTAACACTTCATACTTCAAACAAGACATGCATGTTAAGTTGTGTTTTGTGCCAGTACTGCTTACCATAATTTCTCAAGAAGCAGGCCTTTGTTTGAAACTGCCTTTGTAGTGTTTTTCATAATATTTTAGGAAGAAGCGTCCTCGTTCTCTGCTCTGCTCATATGATGTTAATGCTTTTTGCTTGTAGAGCAAATTCAACACTTTAACCTCATTTACTAGTTTTCTTGATAGATTTAGGATAATATGAATTACACAGCACTATTCCCATTAGAATAACAACAGAATCATGTCATAGTGACCTTTCTGCTGATCTCAGTTACTTATATATTTAGTTATTACTTATATATGTACTTATGTACTCCTAAGTTACTAAACTTTATTGTAGCCCTGCTAAAATTCCATTGAAGTAAATAAGAAATGAAAGTATTTTGATGTTAACACCAGTGAATACTTACAGTAATAATGAAATTTAGAGGCTACTGAGTTCATAGCCTTGAGATGTTTTTTTTTTTTTTAATTTGAATAGATTTTTTTCAGTGTTAACAAAGTCAAATCCAAAAATTTAAATTTCAGAATTTCCAAAACATGCTTTTCATTTTGAATTTTTGACTCTGAAATTGACCAGTCTTACATGACTGATGTTCTATTTGATTTTTTTTTTTTTTTCAACTTGAATTTTGATATCTGTTTTTGACCAATTGAATTTGGGCAATTTAAATACATTTTTTGAAATACTGAAATTTAAATTTTTGGATCTGCATTTTTTTAATACTGACAAAAATATATTCAAATTCAGCTTGTGAAATTACATATTAAGAACTTTCATATTTTAATAAAGTGATGAATTTAGAAAAAAAAATCCAGATACATGGTTTTCACAGTCAAGTATTTCAATATTATGAGTTCAGTGATGTTCACATTTCAAGATTAAATATTTAGTGTCTCTTAATTTCTTCCATAAACTTTCGTCAGTAAAACTTCACGATATGTGGACTACACGATATCAGCCTGATAACTGCCCAAAATCAGCTTTGGTGAAACAGTTGATGGGTTTATCCCTTGACATGTAGGCCTATCATAGTGGACAGCAAGGAGAACTGCATCTAGGATGCCTCACAATATCCCAGTAAAAAGACTAGCATATCAGAATTGTTTGCCTTCTGTCATCCAGTATGACAAATTCGATGACATTTACAATTTTGTCTCCAAAGGCCATGACATCACATAGGTCATGAAAGACAGCAAGTTGTGGTTGGTGTTAAATCAATGGTTAGTGTGTCATGTCTCTTATCAAAGTCATGGCAAGAAGTTATGATTCTCTAATTGCCTAATGCAACGCAGTGACCATCTTATCAGACAAAATATTGTAGAGTCTAAATCTGGCACACATTTAAACATTTTTAAAATTGGGCACCTCAGATCTGCTTGCAAATCCCTCTCTGTGTGTCTAAACGCTCGCAGCTTGCCGGCAAAACGGCCCAACATTCGCCGAAAATCTGGCAGTGTAAAAGAGGCTATTCATTCAATATCATTCAAATGTTTGGATTAAATCGATTAAATTAGGGGATATATCAAGGAGAAATTAACAACATCAGCGACCAACATCATATGCTTTTCTGACTTTAGCATGTAACTACATGTAGCAGTTTACTTGAGCCAGGGAATGACTGTGCAGAACTTTCTGACTGAAAAATCACGAAAAAATGCTTGTTAACACTACGAGACATGCTCCAGCAGGAATATGATCCAAAATCAGGGAGAAATTTACAACATCTGCAACCAAATCTACATATTTCCCTGACATTACATGTAGCAGTGTACATGCAGCCAGGAAACAGCTGTGGATAGTGGCAGTTTCTACTGTGAAAAAACATCATGAAAAGCTTTTTAACGCATTTGAAAATGTTCCAGCAGGAGCATCATTTGAAATCAAGCAGAAATGAACAACATCAACCATCAAGATTGTGGGGCGTCGGTGACTTAGTGGATAGAGCAGGTGTCCCGTGTATAAGGCTGTTGCCGCAGCGGCCCGGGTTTGACTCCAGCCTGTGGCCCTTTGCTGCATGTCACTCCCTCTCTCTCTCCCCCTTTCACACTTGACTGTCCTATCAATTAAAGGCCAAAATGCCCTAAAAATATCTTTTAAAAAACAATCAAGATTGCATGCTTCTAAACAAAACCTGGCATTTTTGTACAGGAGAGTAATCCGAAACTGTGGTGAAAATTACATCAACCAAGTCTGAATGCTTCCCTGACATTAGCTTGTAGCTACATGTAGCAGTGAAGGCTACATAGTGTAAATACTTAGGGTAGCATGCCTGAAGCAGGTGACTATATAAAGACATCCATCATGATCTGATGTTATCTTGTAGCTAAAGTAGAAAAAAACATTGGAAACATTGTACTCAGAATACTGAAGCCTGAGGTTTTTGCTCACAGGGATACTTTTTATATACTGTATGTCTCCCTCGTTATTTGAAACTTTGGCCACGTTTAATATTAGCATCCAACATGGTAACATTATATATAGACCAGATAATAGAAAAAAAAAAAAACACAATAGGTCCCCTCTAAAGAGTTCTGTTTAAGTTGCTTGCTGATTGGATTAGTGCTGTGTAAAAGGACACACTAGTGAATGTACCATGAGAGCCACTGTAGTTCCCCCTCAATTTTTTTAAGGTTAATTAGCAAAGATAATTTATTTGTTCTTGTTCTTACTGGCTGTTTGAGAAATTATGGTAGTAACATTGTGGTGAACAATCCTTTCCTCTCATCATATGTCACTCTCTCAATGCAGGGACATTACAGTTTAACTCTAGATCAGCATTTCTGCTGTTTCTTTTCTTATCCATATATCAATGTGAATGTTGCCATATATCATGCCAGCTTATTATTTTTGCATGGACTGCAGTCATTCATACAGAAAACTACAAGTGATATTGTATTTTTTTTTTCTAGAATCATCTATGTGCCATGTATAGTGCCACAGGCTATGTTTGACCAACAGAGCATTAGCACACTCTCCATGGTGGGAAATGATTAACACAGATGGTCAACTAGGGAGCCACACATTAATAAACTGAATATTAATTCATAAAAATGAATGAAAGGATCATTAATTAGGTCTCCAAAGAGCAGCACTGTGCTCCATTTCTTGCATGCTTAGGTTACCCACTCTCTGATGCTAAAATTAAGGTTCATTTCATTCATAACAAACACTGCATCTCATGAAGTATCCCAGCATTTTCTGGCCCCATGTAAGGACAGCATCTTTAAAAAGGTTAGTTTTCACTCAGCTCGTAGTGCAGACAGCAGTGTCAGGATGAGACGACACAGTGATCAGCGACACAGCGGCCTGGACATCTGCCTGCTGGTGTCTTTTCACTTCAGGGCAAAACACACTTCCATAATGCCGTGTGAGGCGGCAGCTGCCACGGCAACCAAGCAGCCTAAAGGTCAGGTTTTCCTTCACCACTCCGTGATGGAGGACTTAAAGGTCATTCGGTCACAATCTGTTAACTGCAAACTTGTGCCAACAGGGTCAGAATGACCAGCAGCAAACCTTGTTTCCTCCCTCATGACTCGCTGCTCTCCTCTGGGTCCCACAAACACGCTTTTTTGACTGGCTGATGTGGAGTTACACTATTAAGAAACACTTGAGCATTTGTCTGCTCACTAGGCACACAATATCAAGACACATCTTTAATCTCTCTGTCTCATCTCCCCCCCAGAGACGAAAATCACGCTATGCAGAGCTTGACTTTGAGGTAATTTTAGTCTCTTTGATTCCTACAGAGCTTTTTAGATATAGACCAAACAGCTGATGTCTCTTAGCTATTCAGACCTCTAGATGCTTGCATACATTTATCAGATTTATTCAAAGCTTGGGTGTGACTGTAGTGTTGAGATTCGAGACATTAAAATGTGAAGGAGGTAAAGTAGGATTGATGGTTAGCCTGTACTGTTTACCTTGTACGTAACGTGCAATGTCCCTGTGTAGAAGATTATGCATACCCGGAAACGCCACCAGGACATGTTTCAGGACCTGAACAGGAAGATTCACAGTGCAGACAAGGATAGAGAATCTCCACCTGTTGACGCCAAAGCTGCCAAAAGATGGAGTGTGTCCTCTGCCAGCAGCGACAAGACCAACATGAGTGTAAAGAGTTTAACTTTATTCTGTCCTGCCCCCACCCCTCCTCTCCTATATCTCATGTTGTTCTCCTTTTCTCTTATCATTAGCACAAATCACCACACTTGAGTGGAGTTGCCTGTTTAATTATTAGTGCAGCCATTTTAAAGATTGCATTTTTATCTGCTTACAATGTCAGTGCCAGAAGAAATTAGCTGTAAGGGCATCAAGAGGCGTAACTGTGGGTGAGCATACAAACTACGACTACAAACTTAGCCAAGTACATTTTGTCACTCCAAATGTGACAAGCATTTAAAGGTTCTCCTAAATTACACAACTTGTTAGAGCTTGTTTCAAGACAAGGCCTTAAAAAGGGCTGACAGCGATGGCTCAAGCTAAGTACAGGCTAAAGTTCTGCTACCCAACATGAAGGCCATATTGTTTAGGTTCGGCTTTTTCAAAATCCTTATTTCTATCACTGTGCCAATTCTGCATCTTTGCATGTCATTTGCTTCAAGGACATATGCACAAGACACAGTGATAATTAAAGTATACCACAGGGTTGTCATGGGCATTGGTTAAATTATTTAAACTTACCTTCAGTAAGGTGAATAGCTGTGAATAATACAATGCCCAATAACCTCAATGATCATTGCTACAGAGGTGACACCAGCCAAGCAACTCAGAGCATTAAAGAATATCTAGCAAAGTTAATCACCTCACTGATGATTAAGTTTTATGCCCATCTAAGCCTTAAAAAGCTCTTACTGCCACTCTGCTAACATTGCCTTTTCAGGAATAACCAGGACTATACACTCTCACTTTTGACTTTACAGCTAGTAATGTAGTGGTGAGATTCAGTAGGCCCTATCTTACACCCGATACAAAGCAGTGCACAGTGCAGCCCAGCGGTCATTGTTGCTTTCAGATCAGTGCCGTTGTCATTTTCATGGCCTGCACCCACATTGTGTGAGAAGCAAATGTACTTGTGTCCCATGGGCGTGTAGGTCTTAAAATGAGGTGTGGTCACGCACATTGTTGGTGTATTGCTATTTTGAGCCAGCAGAAAGCGAATATACTATTGACCAACAAGAACCTGATCCGAAGTCAGTATGCTGGAGTACTTTCCTGTAAAGGGCCTATTATTCAGATAGTTATATTCTTTAAAAAAGTGAACGTAGCAGAGATCAGAGCAGAGCTGCAGAGCTGCTGTCCGACTCCCCATTAAGAGACGTGCAAAAGTATGTACGAGGAGCAGTGCAACTTTATTGATTATTTTAGAAGCTACAAGTTTAGTTCTGTTTCCTCTGTCAAGTTTATAACTACTTTATTTTTGCGGCATAAACGTCCCATGTTACTGCATCACTCTCAGCAGTAAACCACTCACTTCTCCAACTTGTTAAAGCTCATGTTACGTCTAGAACACTCCTTTAATTAGTTCAGGGACTAAATACAACCCCTTTGCCCCTTGCGCCCTACTTCGTGCCCATTTGCCATGCCCCGTGTGCCATTTACTAAGAAAAATGGAGTTGGACACAACGGAAATGCACTTCCACCACGCACTTTAGATCATGTGTATAGAATTTTTAAATAGGGTCCATTATGATTGTCTTTGTTGGGGGTTGGGTGTTCTTTCTAGCTAGCTAAATAATGACTTAAGCCGTTTCTTTTTACCCACTTAAAACTGGAAACATAGGTCGGGGCTGGGTTGGCTGGGAACAAGTCTCTCAAAATCACCAACAGCAGGTACAAAAGGGAATCCATGTTGGCTTTGTAGCTGCAGTCATTCCATGGCAGCAGATGATATCCATTTCCTTCTGCTGCAACAGCCCCTCCCTGATCTCCATTTGTTTCACAGCTTTGGGGTCGGGTCTTCTCTCTCATAGTGCCAAGTCCAGCTTCACAGGTCAAAGGTGCAGCTATCTGACACTGATAGTTTCAGAACCCACTCAGATTTTATGATAGCTTTGCAGAATCATACAGCAATAGCTTTTTTCCAGAGACAAAGAAAAGACATTCTGATGTATCATCAAGATGGTACAAGTGGAAGAGGCAGAGAGATCAACTTCTCCACTGTGGGTACAAGATGTGTTTTGAGGACGTGCCTCAGCCACAACCATATTTGCATCCCTTTCCTTATCAGTATGTCTAGCTAGCTTTTTGTGCATATACCCACTTTAGATTAAATTAGCAAGTTTACATCCATTGTAAAGGGGTTATCAAAAAAGGTATTAAAGGAATATTTTGACATTTGGAAAAACATCTATGTGTGTATTCACTTTCTTGCTGAGAGTTAGCTGAGAACTCTTTTGTCTGTTTGTTAAGTTGTGAGCTGGAGCTAGGCGGTGGTTAGCTTATCCTAGCATAAAGGCTGGAACAGGGCAATGAGTTCTTATCCCAACTCATCAAATATCGCAGCTTTGTCAGTGCGGTTCACGTCTGCATATTTTACGCACCAGGTGTCCTCGCGCCAGTCCTGTAAAAAACTGACAATACTCAGAGGCATATCGTAGCACTGCTCAAGGTGGCATTTGCTGTTGGTGTCTGAAGCCAAAATCACTGACCGAGCAGCGACATTTGACAAGTTCAGAATGAGAATGGGCTGAGCTCGTACTTTCCAGCAAAACCAAAAATTGTTGTTTTTACTTTTCTGTTTGTGTTGAGAATAAACAAATGAGCTTTAGCCACAGCTGAAGTAGACATATTTTGTTTTACTTTGGACAGAGCCAGGCTAGCTTTTTCTCCCTGTTTTTCAGTCTTATGCTAAGCAAGGCTAATTAGCTCCAGCTCCTCACTTAAAGGCACAGTTAACTCCAAAACAATTTTATCTGTAGTGCTGTTCATTAAGCTAGATTGTTTTGGTGTGAGTTGCTGAGTGTTGGAGATATCGACTATAGATATGTCTATGTCTAGTCTATAGTTCTCTTAAGTATAATGGAAACAGATGGCACACACTTGTGGAACTATTGTTTTACTGAACTACACCTGCCAACCATATCACCCTGCAGAGGGAAGCATGCCTCTGTTGCTAGCTCGCCTAGCACCACTGAGCTAGCTAATGTTACAGCTCAGCTGAGGAGAACACCACTGATGTTTTTATCTCACTCTGTCACCCATGAGTAGATGCACCCTTCCTTTTGCACTCTGATACATGTTGGTGGGTGCAGTTCGGTACAAAGTTAATAGCCTACATGAAACTGCTAACAACAAGGTCTGTGGATTATCTTGAGTAACTGGGTCATAATTTCTGGAAAAAGACATTGCTGTTGAGTTTTTTAAATGTTTTTTGGTGTTTTAAGCCCCACAAGCTGAGTGCCATCTAGTTCCATTATATTGGAGAGAAAGCAGACATCTCTACATCCGATATCTCCAAGACTTGGCGACTCACACCAAAACAATATAGATCGATAAATAGCACTATAGGTAAGAGGAAAAATATGTATTTTTGATTTTGGGGTGAACTGTCCCGATTTTCTCACCTAACTCTCAGCAAGAAACTGAAGCTATTTTTTTTTTTTTTTTTATGTCAAATTATTCCTTTAAGAAATGTAGGATATCACTGAGGCAGACAGATAAAGGGCAGTGTCCACCAAGAACTCACAATATAACTTCTGAAATACATCGCAGATTTTACCATCTCTGAGAAAACAAGCCTTTTCCCTCTGTCCTCTCCCCATCAGGACAAGCAGCAGACCCCGAGTAAGAGGGCGTGGGAGGGCATCAGGAAGCCCCACTCCCCCCCATCCTGGGTAAGGAAGGACCTGGAGACGGTGGCTGCCTCCCCTCTGGAGATGCAGACGGTAGAGTGGGAGAAGACCAGCGCCACAATCCCTCTGGTGGGCCAGGAGATCATGGACCTTCAGACGGAGGTGTGACCCAGCTTCTGGCATCACACCCACAACTTCCTTTTTTTCCCCAGTGCTCTCAGACAGACAAGCAGAACCCACCACACACACTGCCCTGCTCTGTATTTTTACTCAAAGGCTGGATAAGGCCCACTGCGAGAACGTGAGGGGGACGGAGGGCGAGGAGGAGAGAGAAGCGTCACAATATCAGAAAATTAATTCAATCAATTAAAGAGAGAACAGGAAAATAGCGTCTCTTTTAATGTTTCATTTTGATGTTTGGACGGTGTTTTTGTCTGCAAAATACTGGTCATCTTCTTGTATATGGTCTCAGACACCACAGTGGCTCACATGGTCGTACAGATTGCCATGTGCATCATATAGTCATGTAATAAATCACATAGCAAAGGTAATCATGCGATGTTTACCCCTGTATTAAATGAATACAATGTAATAATCATGATTATGTCTCCTTTTTTTCTCTGTTGAGAGTATTGTTGCATCACTTTTCTGCTCTCTCTTTCTTCTGATGAACGCTGATGTAAATGGAGACGCCTCTGGACTTACTTTTTCTTCAACATCAATCTCAAAAGGGAAAACAAACAAGTGAGGCAGACTGCCAAACACACACACCCACGTGGCGGTCAATGCAGTTCTCTCCCCCCTTCAACTCACCCCAATCCTTCTGGCTCCACCGCTTTATCCCCCCGTGATCCTGACAGGGCAAGGTCGGCCCTGCAGTGACAAGCGAAGGGGAGAGGGGGTAAAAAAAAAAAAAAAAAGAAGAAGTTTCCCAGAGCCAAAATGGCAAGTTGCCTTCTCATCGACGGACACCTCAGAGACGCCAGAGAGCAGGGCCGGTGGGCCTTGCGCCCTAATCGGCCCTCAACCTCAATGCCGCCCGCAGAGGGATAACAATGGACGTCAGTGTCAGTGCGTCCGGAAGGAGCCACGTTCAACAAACACATGCTGTTTGAGTCAGTTTCTCGATGTACAAGCAGGCTTGGTACAGTGAATGCAAAATATGATGGTGTTTCACAGAGGGAAAAGGTACTTGTGTGTGTATGTGCGTGTGTGTGTGTGTTGAGTAGTTGCAGATGAGTAAATGACTAGATCTATAAATATATATGGTTAAAGGTAATGATATATACAAGGCAGAGGTTAGAGAGGGATGGTGGTTGCACACAGAGAAAGCACAAGGCTCATTTGGAGTCCTGATGTACAGCATTGTAATTATTTCAACAGAGTTCTACAGAATGGATTTTAGCCTATAAATATCTTTCTTACTGTGCTTGGGGATAGTTGTTATCATTATTATAAATATGAACATGATTATTCTGATACTGATCCTCCCATTCCCTCCTCGTCCTTTCAGGGTACTGGACTATACGAGTGTTCTGTATCGCAATGTAACAGTGTGTGTTTTGATATTACCGCCAATCACTCCCTTCAGATCTGTATTTGTCGAAACCCCCTGACCCACTGATCTGCGCCCCACCCTGCCACACACACCCCCGCCCACCCCACCCTCACTCCCCTTTTTAATTTACTGGGGTCGCCTCTTTGTTAATGTACAGTTTTCAGAGCACAAAATGAATGTGTCTTATTTCTAATAAAAGCATATCTATATAATAAAGCAACACTAGTCCTCTTGTTTTCTCACATTTAATTACAGATAACACAGGATTCATCATGTTACACACAGTGTGACCTTAGAGAGGTGTATCTGTGCATAATGTAGTGTAACAACAGCATAAAAGGAGAAGAGACACTGTCAGCAGCCTAAAGTTTGCCAATATTAAATAACATTAGCCACCTGGTCATACCAGACTTACGAATTTAACTTTTACTTTAGGGGAATTGCAGAATGGTGTTATTTCATCTTTAATTGGAAAAGACTTTAGAATTATACGGAAGTGTACTGCTGCCACTACATTTATTAACCAGAGCACTCTCATAAAAACCTATCATTTGCAGAGCACTTTTTGTACTCAACTTCTGAATGATTCTCTGTTAAGGTCCATATGGGGGGACGCTGAGATAAAGCTGTTTGTACACACCTCGTCCAGCTTACTCTGACAGATAATCGTAAAAATGTAGGCCTACATTGCACATACTTGTGCAATATTATCTACCGCAGTCAATAACTGCTACATCTCCTAATGTCTCCACCAAAGCATTAAGTATAACTTAATCAAGTCGTGTAGATGAGTGATATTCCTCAATTTAGCCATTCTCCAACACCCTTTCTTTATTGAAAAATTAGTTTATCATTAAAACCATATATTATGTTATCACATTATAACATGAAACGTTTCATGTTATAACAAGATAAATAGTATATTACTATAACAAGAAAAGTTTGGTTTCTTGGAGTAACATGATTACGTTTGTACGATGTAATAACATGAAAATATCTTGTTGTAACATGAATATATTTTATAAAAACATGATAAACATCTGTTTGAATATGAACCTTTTCACGTTATCTGATATTGATTTTTTGTTTTTTTTTGGCAATACGCTTCAGTTTTTTTTTTTGTTTGTTTGTTTGTTTTGTTTTTGAGATTAATACCACTCTCATGTTTGTGCGCCTAGTCTCACCAGACCTACCTTCATAGCATTGTGTCAGCGCTAGAGAAAGGTCCGGAAAAAATGCTCTGGCTTGTTTTTATTTCTTTAAACCAATCAAATTGTCTGAGACGGAACTAAGTCCAGGATGTTGCAATGGTGCTGTTGCAAATTAGTGTTGGGGGGGGCTTGTTTTGATGGAACATTTGCACATGTGGAGGCGAGCAGTGTCACTGACGGCTAATTTTCCACAAAAGTGAACGACAAAATAAGTAGGCCTAATAGACATATGTAGACTGTGTGATTCAACTTAAGTGATAAAAATATAATATATGCTTGGATGAAAAGTATCAGATACAGATAATGTACTTTTTATGTATCTCATCCATGTAAAATGTGTCAATATATATATCTTCTCAATGAGGGTATATCTTAATATGGATAGCTGAGTTCAGTCTCTCATTCTTGTGATCAAAAATATCTGAAACATAATCCTGAGATTGTTCTGTTACGAGTTTGCTAACAAATAATAAATATAGCAACTTCTCATCACCCTATATCAATTTCAGACTTGAAATAACATATTCCGGTTAGGCCGAACCCATTTCCAATTATGACCACAACCACTTTAATTAAATCCCGCCTGTCCTGAGTACAGATGTAGACACAGATATTTTAGTTTGTTAAACAGATATACCAATATAGATAATGGTGTACTAGCTCATCCCATATAATTAGATAATCGATGCCCTAGAGGGGACGCCTCACTATACTTCAGCTCTGGAGGAGCTCATTTGGTCCGTTTAAACTACAGACAATTTGTTAGCTGTACATGCCTCTTGTAGAACAATGTAACAATGATATCACAGAAGTTTAATTAAAGTGAATCACATCAGGACATTGGTGAAGACAATGCCACTGGTGCATGACACTGCAAGGTAAAAAGATGTTGCAAATAAATTACAACTGGCCGTGTCAGAAAATGTATCAGCATCAGTAATGGGCTTTTCTATGGTGTTGTTTTATATGTTGTAGATCTTAACAACAATTCACCAAAAAAAAAAACAAAGTAGTCATGCCTGATTTCACGATCAAAATTTTCATAGCTCGCCATTTTCAGCATGTGGTTTGCTCAGAGGCTGTTGTTTTCCGTTGTGGATTCTGATAATGTTAACACGAGATAGCGAAAGGAGGGGAGAATGTTGGTCTAAATAGCCGGCCAATGGCAGTCTACATCTGGTGAGACTACTGTACACCTAGCTCTAGAGGGGGTCATCCCACCTCCCAGGGTCCTATGTTCCACACGTCCTATTTCTCTTGATATAGACTTTGCAGTTTATATTGTAGCTGTATGCTGTATGTGGCCCTATAAACTTCGCAGTTTATATCAAATCCAAAGTCAAAAGAAAGAATGGATAAAGATGTGTCAAATGGAGTTTAATGGTAAAAATCTGTCCAGCCTCTGTGGAGATACTTACGTCTAGAGTCAAGAAAATTGTCTTGCCAGCAAATTTTAAGGTTGTGTGTGTGTAAAGGAGTATAACCTCAGCTGCCTATTGTTGGTGGTGGGTGATTTCAACATAAGCTGTTGACCCAGAGAAACATACATTGAACTTTTTACCGAGGGAAAAACATTGCTGAGAACGTGAAACGCTTTGAAAGGTTTCCTTCAGTCATATTGAGAAGGATATTGAGTGGGGAAACAGGACCCTAAAAACAGATATGTTCCTGCTCTAGAGCCAGAAGGTGATTAACTTAACTTGCATAAAGAGTAGAAGCAGGAGGAACAGTTAGCCTTGCTCTGTCCAAAGTTCCAAAAATATCCTTACAAAGCTAACTAAAGCAGACTAATTAACACCTTGTATCTCTTTTTTTATCAGTATGCTTCACAAATTAAAAGTTGTGGTTTTAGGGAGAATTGCGTGCTGAAACTATTTCTGTCCTGACACAGTGACTTCCTGTTGTCTTCTTGTCATAACAGTTCCTACAGGTACTTTTATCATGGAGAATTAGGCTGTTTCTGCCAGCTTCTAGTCTTTATTCGAAGTTAAGCTAATTGCCTCCTGGCTCCAGCTCCAAACACACACAAGACTCATATCAGTCTTCTCATCTTACTCTCAGGAAAAAAGTGAATCAGCACATTCCAAAAAAATAATATATTAATCGGCAACATTATGTAGTTGCGTTGTTTTACATATTTATTGAAAGGTTTCAATGAGAAGCCATTAATCTGAGTTCACTTTTGGACCAAGTTCCACACAATTATACATTTATGTTTTACTGTTATTGTTCCACACTTTCAGTTAAAATCTTCAGGTCCAGATTTTACCAAAAGTTGGTTCAGTGAAAAGAACACTGTATTACTAAACAGCCACATCAGAAAACAATGATAAAAACAATTTGCAATGAGTAAAAATCTACACAGCAGCACTGCTCAACAAATAAATTATGACTTGACATCAGTAATTGTGTTACTGTCATAGTCATAAATTGTAATTGTCACAATTGACATAGTGATTCAAAATTAATAGGGGTGTACTGTTGTTCTGAATCTGTCAGTGCTCTTTTCCAAGCAGCAACCTGCAGCGCTGTAAAATGAGGCCAGTGCTGAAGTGCCAAAAACTGCAGGTCCTTGAATGGCTACTTGAGACATGCAAAAATGTCCAACATTAGAAATAAACTTGTTTACAGTCTGGTACAAAAAATCTATATGGTCTCTATAGCTTATTTCCCCCTTCGTGACAAACATTAGTCAGCCATTTGAATGTTATTAAGGCTTAAAGGGATAGTGCACCCAAAAATGAAAATTCAGCCATTATCTACTCACCCATATGCCGATGGAGGCTCAGGTGAAGTTTTAGAGTCCTCACAACACTTACGGAGATCCGAGGGGGGAGTGGGTAGCAACACAACTGCACACCTAATGGCTGACGGCGACCCAGATTAAAACGTCCAAGAACACACACACACACACGTGAGCTCGGTGTACACAGAAGCAGTTAGAGCTGCAGGCTACAATGAGACTAAAATCAGAGTTCAAATGTCATTTTTCCAAACAACTTTTTATGTCGGGGCTTCAGGACACTTGGATCTCTACAGATGAGCAGTATGGAGATATTTTGTGGTTTTAATTTTGTGTTTTTGGATGTTTTAATCTGGGGCGCTGTCAACCATTAGGTGTGTAGTTGTGCTGCTACACACTCCCCCCTCGGAGTGTTGTGAGGACTCTAAAACTTCACCTGAGTCTCCCTCGGCATATTGGTGAGTAGATAAGGGCTGAATTTTCATTTTTGGGTGCACTATCCCTTTAAAGTAACACATAATTAAGGGTGTGGTTACTTTGAGTAAACGGTGGTTGCCATTCGTTGACAATGCGCTACCACAGCGACAACATTGGTTCGTTAATGTAAATGCTAAATGGACATGCACTCATATAAGGCCTTTCTAGTCTTGACACTACGTGTCACATTCACCCATTCACACACAAATTAACACACTGGTGGCCTCAGCTGTCATATAAGGTGCCATTTGCTACTCAACATATTTGCACTCATACATTAATGGTACAGCCACCGCGAGGGGTTCAGTTTTTTTGGCCAAAGTTACTTTGACATGCAAACTGAAGAAGCTGGTGATCAAACAACCAATCTTCCTCTCTACTTCCAGAGCCACAGCCTCTCTGTGACGTACGTAACCATGACATAACCCCAGATTTGCAGAGTAGCTATTTTACTGTGTTTTCAGCTTACATAAACTAACTGTAAAGTTTGGTTGCCTGAAAAAGTCTTGGTTTGTACTTGGTTGTACTAAAATAACCATCTAAGGAGTTGGAGGTTCAGTTTCTCCATTAAGTACATTTTGTTTTATGGTTTTAGGCATTTGCATTAGCATTAGCCTAGTTTAAGGCATAGGTATTTGCATCAACAAAGTTAACCATAGCTGTAAATACACTGTGCCAACAAAGCAAACAGCAAGCGTTAAGGTTAGCTCAACCCTCTCCTAGAAGTATGATCACTTCTAGACCCAAAAATCCAAGATGGGGATGGCCAAAATAACAGGGAGTAACGAA